TATGTTTAGATTAATTTAAAAACCCTAATTTTTACTAACCCTAATTAGACCCTCATTTTCTAAACACACACTTCACATTACTTTTCAAACAAACAAGTGAGCTAAGTAACTAAGAGCCCATGGATAACCATGGATATAAAGGGTGTTAACACCTTCCCTTTATATAACCTACCCTCGAACTCAAAATCTTTTCAAAAAGGTCTTTCCTGTTCTTTTATAGCCCTTCCTATCGGATAAAATAAAAGTCGGTGGCGACTCTTGCTATCCGTACATGTTTTTGTCAAACAAAAACACCAAGTCAGTTCTCCCACCGTGTTACAGTACCTATCAACAAAATACTAGTAGATTGTGGCGCAACAGTAAACTTGATGCCTCATTTTATACTAAGTAAGATTGGAAAATGTGATGATGATACCAAGCCCCACAACATGGTTCTGTTGAACTATGAAGCAAAAGTGGGCTCCACTTTGGGAGTGATCCAGGTTGATCTTACAGTGGGAACAATCACAAGACCCACAATGTTCATGGTTGTCGAAACCAAAGCTAATTATAATTTTCTCTTGGGAAGAGAATGGATTCATGGCGTAGGCGTTGTGCCTTCTTCAATGCACCAAAGGATTACCATTTGGAGGCCAGATGGTATCGTCGAGAACATCGAAGCTGATCAAGGGTACTTCAAGATTCCTGTCAATTATGTCGAAGGGAATCAATTTGGCAAACACTTGGCGAATATTGCTTAATGTCCTCCAGCAGAGTTTGAATTTACTCCAAATGAAGCAATGTTTCATTCATTATACTTACATCCTGTCGAAGGTTTCAGATGGGATAGTGAGGTACCAGGAGAAAGGCTACCAACTTTTGAAGGTCCTATGTTGTAACCCACTGGGTGGGGAGAAAGATTCGGTGATCATTGTAACACCCCCTTTCTATACCCCCAAATAAACAATTAAATCATTTAGGCACTTAATAAAAATTTCAGAGTATAGTTTAACACATGGTATAAAGAGGCACGTCACATTTCAGAGTATAGTTTAAATGATGGTCGAAATAAATGCAATTGGCCCTGGCTATATGCTTAACACTTAGCAATCGTACAATGCATACTCTCTATCCCGGAAGGAGAAGTCGGTAATCGATAACCTAAGCCGCTACTCTCGCCCTTAATGTACTACTAATCACTCACTCGCTGACCCAGCCAGCTCTGACACGCTTGCTTCCAGTCGTATGTAGCAGGTTAAGGGTGCTAATAACTCAACCAAACAATAAACTAACAAAGACTATGAAACTATGGCTACACAGCACAAGTACTCAATCATTGAACTAGGCCATAGGGATTCATTCAATGCTTAAAGTGAGAGCTAAGGGTTGAGTTCAACTAGTCAGTATTGGGTTAATAGGGTAGATAGCTTGGATCTTTTTTGATCCTGTTAGGAAAGGGTGAATGCACATAGATAGGATGCACGCTCAGAGTGTACTGCCGTCCGAGGAAAAGATGCGATACAAAAGAGAATTCAAGGTGTACTGGAAGCAAAGACTGCTAGGCGAACAAAGAAATGAATTGACGAGATCCCAAAGGAACCATCTGAATTCCAACCATTTGTCTAACCATTGGAAATAGGCAAGCTAGCTCTTCTTCGCTATCTGAACTAGCGCCCTCTTCTCTCATCAATTCATAAATATTATCTTTCGATTCCCTACTCTAGACCTTCTGAAAAGAATGAAGAAAGAACGTATGTAACAAAGTGAGCCGGACCCCTCCTAGTCTATGCCTAGGCTTCCAGAAAGGAATGAGAATCCATACCATATCCCGATACGCGCAGACCGCCCACCCTATGATTCCAATTGAGGCTCTGCAAGACCTGACCTTTTTGGTTTCACTGCCATTACTGACGATTTGATGGCACCGCTTCCCTCTATAGAACATATTTTCGCTATCTTCTGCAATCATAAAATCTGCCTATCTATTTTCGAGCATTATCGACTCGCTATTCCTCGTCTTTCAATGTGCAAATATCAATGTACGACGAGGTCTACCACCTCTTGTCCTAACACTAGTTAATCTCGGTATGATGATGGGTAGTCACAACAGCAAACGAAGAATGAAGCCTTTTTAGACTAAAATCCCACTGAGAAAGAGGTATTGTCATCAAGCTAGTCTTTCACACCTATGAAGTTGTCTTGAATGAGTCCTCCTTTGGCCGGTTCAAGTGCTTTCCTTTTTTTTAATAATAGGCAGGCGCAGGAAAATATCAGTCGCATTCACTGGGCGCATACCTTATCTTAGGTCTCGAGCTTCAATTGGCTTCAAACCCGTTTTTCTCGCGTGGCCCTCCGGCAAAAAGAAGCTTCAATCTGTCCAATTTCGCCCGAGAAGGAGTGCCGGTTTTGGATTCTTTTTTTTCCCGCGCGTAGTTCCTTCCTGCCCATGCATTCCTTCTGTCTGGGTATAGGGTTTGGGGGGAAGAAATGGGATTGGAAGGGAGTGCTCTTTATATAATTG